AGACTTTTCTTGACACCAACTGAGACTGATGGAGAGAAAGACCGCCGTAGTAGACCTAGTGTTTGGTAAGCCTTTGCTGATATTGAGTTGTAGTGGTCTGACCATGAGAGGTCTGATGAGAATAGCATACCCAGGTCCTTACAGTGCTGCTTGCATGAGATAGTAGAGCCATTGATTGAGTAGTCAGAAGATGTGACCGCTTTAGTTCTATTGTGAAAACGAAGGAGACATGACTTTGAGGCATTGAAAGATAACTTTCGTTCCGGGTCCCTGCACCAGTCACTAAGATCTAAGGATGAACATCCCATAAAGGCTGCTAGCAAGTTTCAAGTCTCGCAGGACTTTCACAAGTTCTTAGTCGCCAAAGTCCATCAAAATCTGTGAAACCTTGGGTCTCTCAGCCCTTGGGAACCCTGAGAACCGGGTTCTCCCTATAAACCCAATGGCATACCGAAGCTAACCGCAATGACGTTTTATGATGTCATAGTTTACATAAGCACATGTAGTCGAGCGCCCAAACTGATAATTCTTCTTTTAAAAAGCTAATAGAGCAAGATTTTCTGATAATGAAGGCCTTTATGAAAACTAATTGACTCCAGCAGCTATTGTACTGCTTATCAGTAGCAGCAAGACTGTTTTAAGAGTGAAACAACACAGCCGCCATTCCTCTATGAATAATTATCATTATTAAGTCATTTTGTGACGTAGCTACATTTTTCAAATTCCACGCAGCTGCTTCCATGATCCACTTCCGTCCCAAACTGAAGTGGGATACGCTAAAGGGTTAATAAATAGTTGCTATAGAGACGCCATGACGCATTAAAGCTCTCCGTTTTTTTATTCCGTGTAACATTCTCAGTGCACAATCAAGTTAAAATGTCGAAGAGTTTATAAAAGAAGGCTTCGCTACCCCTATTTTGGTATCAAATTGCTTCTATAACATGTTTACATGATAAAATGAATTTAGCCCTGGTAAAGATTTTTGTGATTATGACTGAGCCCAAAGCTCTAAATGATCATTCCAGCAGATAGCCAGGTTTTTTCAAATAGGGTCACATATTGTTTTTAGTCATAACATAGATTTCAAAGATTTGTATGAAATCTATGAAATAACATTTCTATGGAAATTTAATAGTTGAGTTTGCCACCATGTTGGTTACTAAGCGTATCTAGGACCATGATCCAGTACATGTACAGTGGATATATATATATGCGTCATGTGATGATGTCACTTCCTCTACCTACTATACTCTTGATCAAAATGGAGTAGTATTCTCTCTCTTTTCACTTAAGCAGCAGTTATCTCACTAATAATACTTGCAATTGACTCAAAAACGTCAGTGCATCCAGATAAAAGACTAATAAACATGATAACTTGTGTTAAGTCAGCTACAGGTAGCAAAAGCTTGTCCTCTATCTCAAACGACTAAACCATGCTTTTCTAGAAAAGGCAAAGATATTGTATCTTTAAATAAAGTGCAGATCTTATTCTTACTCTTACTATTTGTTTTTGAAGTGTATGCAGACTCCTAGTTATCTAAAAAATGAGATAGGGGAAGAAGTCTGAGACCAGTTACAACTTAAGAATATTGTACTGCATTAAATAAGAAAATTGTATCATGTTTATTAGTCTTTTATCTTGATGCACTGACGTTTTTGAGTCAATTGCAGGTATTATTCGTGAGATAACTGCTGCTAAAGTAAAAAGAGAGAAAAGCTACTATGCACACCTCATATGCAAGCTGAGCCCCGCCCACTTAGGTAGTCCAGCCCAGGAAAGGTGTGGATTGGCACCATGCAGCTGATGGACCCACGATGGCTTGAACAAAAAAGGCCGTATATAATGTGTGTACAAAGTAGTTCAATGTTATATACATGTGTACGTGTGCTTAATGTCAATTTTTGGAAGGGTCTCACACTCCCCCGGGGGGTTGGGACCTTTCTCAATTATTTATTTCTTGTCTGTACTAATACTTGAAAAATTCAAAAATTAGCATCACTAAATAATCAGATATATACAACTGATAACAATAATTATACATAAATTCTACAGTTTTAGCTTCTTTCTTAGCCTATAGGCTTGCTTGCTGCCATCATTGCAGATGATGATACAAGCTGATGATGAGCACATATTCAAGAGCAAGTGCAAATGCAGGGAACTATCCTTTTGGAGCATACTTTCTTTAACCCAGCTATAGCAGCGAGGCCATGCACCGTAGGTGTCTCGTTACTATAGGATCAGCAGGTAGTACAGTTATAGTTGTTACTGTTGTTATAATGATCTTGATGTTTTTGATTGTCATGGTAACTATCGGAATAATAATAATTGTCATAAAGTGAGTACTTTTAAGTTTATTTTATTAAATTTAGAATTCATTTATAGGATGAAAACTAATCATGGTACTAGTGATCTTAAAACTAATACTGAACCAGTTTATGATGATCCTGATATTAGTTTGAAGGAAGTAAAACCCCAAGCAGTTTATGATGAAGTTAAAATTGAATCAACTGATCCTGTTTCTGCTGCTGATTATGAAGTTCCTGTCACTGCAATTACTGAAGAGAATGTTGATATAAAAATGGAATGCAATGAAGCTTATGCTACTGTAAATACTTTATGACTATTGTAAACTATAATTAATTTGCTGCAATTTGTTTTGTCACTTTTAGCCTAGTCTCATTGTAATCTAGTGTAGAACTATTAAACTTTATTTTAATTTGGTTGGACTGTTCAAAACATTCAATGTGAATAAAATAATTATATAATTAATTGTGGGTGAATTAAAACAAGGCGTGTATACTCTCATCTCTAGAGTCATCAACAATAGCCTATCAATAGTCTCTTATTCCAATGTAATGCATTTTATTAATTATTGTATATAATGTGTGTTCCTGCTGCTTATATTCTTCACTCAACATTTCACTAGTGTCTTTATCACGTTTTGCTTCCTCTTCTGATCTCAAAACCTACACACGGCAAACACACAAACATTATATTTAACCATCAAATATGTAACCATCAATTCATTAGGTAACATGTATAGTCAGTCAGTGCATTTGATGTACATGTGGTCAAGCAAATACATTGGCAACAGAGAGCATAAAACTCAGTTCTATTTCAATATTTATTGCTTTAAGTATGGATCGCTGCTCTAATTGAAGCACCAGTTAATCTAACAACAACAAATTAAAACTGCCCCTTGAATTAATTATAAGTGTCTAAGACTTTCTATCAAGGCCCTTGCTTGAGCAGTAGGTACTGACAGTTGCTCCTATACATCTATTAATTTACTTTAATAATATCTTTTGATGTTGTCTTCCCTTCCTTCTGATGATCACCAGTGCTTAGTTTGATTGGTGTGCATTGGTTCAGTTCAAGTGATATTTTATGAGGATGGGCTGGTGATGTTGAATCAACTTTAACGCTAACGAGAATGTGATCAAATAAGCTAATAGTGAATGAAGAATGATGAGTTGTCACTTTAATACTATGATCATTAAATGTAATAGAACCTTGAATGAAGAAGGAAAGAAAGACAGAAGAAGTGTGATTACACATAATAGTTAAATGGGGTCTAATATTTACCTTCAATCCAGTTCAGTGTGTTTGGATCATCAACTTTTGGTGATAATACTAGTCGTCCACTCTTATCCTTAAAATAAACTGGAGATTGTATACCATACCTGCAGGATAGGGTCAGGAGGATAGGAATGAAAGTAGAGGAACAGAAATATTAATACAGTACCTTGGTGAATAAGCCATGACACCATTAGCTCTTATATTGTATACAATAGCTTCTGTGACAGTACCAGCTCTGCTGGCATTGAGGAAATAAAGACCTTGAAATAATGCACTACTCTCTAGCTGTGCACGTTTTGCAGCCTGTAAAGTATAGCAATATATGTTTGTAGTAAATATGTAATAGTGCATTATTAGTGTATTGTATTCTTTACTCTCTTCTTATCATTCATATGTTCACAAATCCTTTGCAATTCACTGTCATCTGGTATTACATCATCTGACCTTCCTTTATCATATATACTCAATAATTGTCTGTGAACCTAAAAAATCATTGAATTACTAATCTGTCTCTCTCCCTACATGAGTATCTCTTCGTTCCTACCAGTAGATCAGCATATCTCCTAATAGGTGAAGTAAAGTGTGTATAATGCTTTATTCCCAGTCCATAGTGGCTCAAATGATGATTAGAGCCTGGTCCAGTTGATGTATACAATGCTTGTATCATTGCCTGTGTTGCTAACATTCTTAATACCTTTTGGATAATATAATTATGTGATTGTCATACATGACAAATATAGACCGACCTTGTTAACTTCAGGATCAGTAACATCAACAGCTTTATTTAGCGATTGAGCTAGTTTAAAATTACTCCTAGCATCAATCGTATAATTACGTGCAGAAGCACAGCTCTTTAGTAAAGAAAACTGATCTTGTGGGGGGGCAGCATGACTACGCAACTATGTAGATTAGAAGAGGAAAGACAATGCATATACATGTATATACTGAAAAGAAATAGGAGCACTGAAAGAGGAAAGATGGGGAAAGAAGTGAGAAGGACTATCCTCCATACCAGTGCCTTTGATGGTAGATGAAGTGATATATCTTTAGCTACCAGTTCGTTAGCAAATATCATACACTCAGCAACTGTTTCATGAACCTCGAGTACCTATTGAAAATAAATAAAGAAATAAATAAGCAATAAATGTACCTTTTTAGGTATTATATCATCAATATTGTCTTTATCAGTCATTTGTATCTTCACTTCAACTCCCTCAAGTTCAACTGCACCTGAAAATGTTAATATCCTCTTTAAATCTATAATTATCATAAATAGCATCATACCATTTCTGTTTCTTTTCTCTCTTAGCACACGTGCAATTTCCACCAACTTTTTTATTGACTGCCTTAAGTCACTGACTCTACAAACAAAAATTACAATAAAAATAAATTTACATGTTCCTTGCCCACGTCTAATCACTGCCAAGGCCAAAAGTAGTTCTTTAATCAATGTAGTACTCCTATTATTATTGTGTATGTGTCCTGAGGTGTAAAATAACTGAGCTTACAGACGCTGTACTATAGTGCATGGCTTTTGAAGTACCATTTAAAATTCATAATAGATTCAATTTTGATTGAAATCAACTCAAAACAGATTTAAAAAATTAGAAAATGTATAAGTGCCAAAAAAGAAAAATTCTCTTTTAGTCAATTTTCACAAAATTTGGCCAAAAACTCTATTTCAAGTAATTAAAAAAAATTTTTAATTTCTATTTTAGTCGGAATCAGCTCAAACTTGCTACACACCATAATAACATGCATACATATATCAGAAAAAATTATAAAAATTAAAATTCTGTTTTAGCCATTTTTAATGAAATTTGGCTCCAGACCATGCATGTACTATATATATAGTACATGGTCTCTGGCCAGATTTTTGAGCAACTTTAATAAAATTCATTAAAAATCCAATTTTGATTGGAATCAGCTCAAACTAGATATATATACAATAACTGCATGTACATCAAAAATTATATAAAAATAGTGAATTCTCTCCTAGCCATTTTTGACAAAATATCATAGATCAGCAAAGCTCTACTGAGAAGCTAAAGCAAGAAACTGAACGCTATAATGAGAAACCTTGAATGTCACACTTTAATCTACATTTGTACAGTGCATGTATATATGATCATATAGAGAACATTTTCCTTCTGTCTGTATTGATTCAGTACTCAGTATACTATGGTGGCTCGATTTGATAAAAGTTTCAATTACATTCTGTTTAGGCTTAAGCCTCAATACAATTATGTAGTTGTAATTACAATTATAATTGACCCCAGATCTCAAATGACACTGATTCAAAATATCTTTGGTGAGCACATTGGCTCAATAAACACTACAGTATACATACTTTTTTGCTAGTTCTGATGGTGTTAATTTTGATTCACTTAATTCTGGTATTGAATCAATAATATATTTATCATCTTTATCTTCAAAAAGATCCTGTGCTACCTGTAAATAATGATTAATTAGATACATGTACAATCAATAATAACAATATCATGCAGTACCTCATATGTTAGTTTGTAAGCTGATCTAATTATAGTACGTCTGACTGAAACACTTTCTATACTAAAGTCACGTGGATTCAATCTACATAAAACACTCACAGCATATCTGAGAGTATAGGGAGAAAGAAAGAAAAAAGAGATATAACATGTAAGATATAAAAATTGCAATTTTTAAAATTATAAAATACCAACCTGTCTACATTACTGAGTAATGAACAAAGGTTGGAGCTAAGTACAGCTGGCAACATATCATATCTTCTATCAGCTAAATACACAGTCGTTGACCTAACAATTATTCATTTATCTATTACTTATTTATTAATTTACTGACCTTTCTCTAGCCTCTCTGTCAGTGTAGCTACCAGATCTTACAAAATATGACACGTCAGCAATATGCACGCCTAACTCAATGACTTTCCTTAATGACCTATTAAGAACATTACCATATAGCGGGGAAAATTTAATTTGGAAAATTTGGCATTTTGATAGCCATTCACCAAAATAAAATCTGCCATTTTGAGCCATTATAGGCATGCTCAATGGCACATGGCCACTAATTTGCCAAATTAAAATTCGCCAATCACCAAATTTAACAATTTGCCAAATTTAACTTCCTCCAAAATTTCCAGCTATACAGTATTACTCGTAAACACGACATAGTATACTGATATTTACATTTGAAATGACCAGAATATACCAACCTAACAGAGAGAGTGTCATCAACATCTTCACAGCCTTTAGGATCAATACTGTATATAAGGTGTGATTCACGTAAGTCTATTCTGTTTTTCAACTCTTTCTCTTCAATTTTCCAACTGTCACCATCTGGTAATTCAGAGAGTATTGACTGGGTAAAACTACTAGTGCTAAGCTCATTCTCAATTAGTATAGCCTGGATTTCTGTCTAAAGGAATGGAACAAATAGATTTAAAGTATGAGATTTAGAGATTCATTCCATACTTCAGTATCTCCTATAGGTCCAATGCTCCGTACAAAGTGGCCATTAGGATAATAAGAATTGATGTCCCAATTATCAAAACGAACTACAATCCTAAAAAAGTTTTGCTCATATATTTTCATTCTCATTCTTCAGTATGGGTATCAGTCTTACCTGTGATGTTTGAGTTCATTTGACAGTCTTGTGCTTATTCTTATTTTAGGTATTCTTATGTCATATGGTATCACAAGTACTTTTTCTAATTTATAATTACTGGAAGCACTTTCTTCCTAGTAAATAAAATATAAATAATTTCAGAACTCAATATTATTTTATTTTAAATCTTTTGCACAGCACAAGGGCATCAATATGCATTAAAACCCAAGTACACATGTATATGCATGCATGACTTTGGAGTTAATATTGTGAAAATACTTAGCATGTACGCTTATTGACTTTAATTTTATATTCTTCATGTCCTTATGTCCAATTCAAGACTTTCCATTTGTTAAATGTTGCAGGCTAGCCATTTATTTAATAAGGCATCTCATTAACTTAACTGGAAAACTAGCAATGATATCTCTATTAGACCTCAACAATATACCAACCACTCTACCAGTTGGTCTGGGATTATCACATGATTCATCATGTGACTCATCATTATCTCTCGATGGTAACTTTCTTGTCACTCCTTTCCATTCTGATCTATCAAGCAACTGGACACATACAATATCACCGGTTATAGAACGATTTCTAATTATATTAATAAAAAATTTATGTCAAACAATATTCCACATTGTTTATTATACCTATGAACTATTCCGTGTATAAGTACATCTTGCTTAGCAATTGGCTCTGTTGCAATGTCAGTGTATATTCTTGAATTACGTGGTTTCACAAATGCTTCATTCCGGTGAAATTTACTAACTCTTATTTCCCCAGTCACTAGACTACCCTTGAAGGAGAAAGCAAAGGACAGAGAGAGAGTTAGGGAGAACTGACAGTCTACCAAATACCATTACATACTTTTTCAATTCCTTCCTCCAATTGATCATCATTAAGATACTCAGTATATCCAGTAATACTAGATTGACCTTTTGGTACTTCCTCATCTTTACTCTCAGTTTGTACAGCAACTAGTGACTGATGCAGTTCATATATAGAGCTACTGCTACCATGATGAGACTGGAGATACTCAGAAAGAGTGGATATTTGAATTAAAGGACAGCTGGTAAGAACCTCAGCATAATCCTATAATAATAATAAGAAGAAGATGTACATATAAAACACTCCACATTATTGGTAGTTTGGTACATGTATGCACAGTACATCTTGATGTAGCTAGGTTAATAAGGTTATACACTCGCATCAATTAAAATATTAAAAACTATGGCTCATAAATAGGATAACTAGGATAAATATAGTATACGTATGTGTACAAACAAAGAAAGTGTTGCCTGAGTTTGGCTCATTCAATTTCGCTATTATTATTAACGCTATTATTATTAACGCTATTATTATTAAAAGTATTTTTGATTAAAATAATTATTCTCTTACCTTACATTCCTCAGTGATGAGGACAAGCTTCACTTTATCCACTAAGCCCAACATTTCAATGTGTCTGTAGTACCACTTTGCAGCTAGCATTGTTAATCTAAGTAAGATATTATTATTATAAGTGTACATTCATTTCTAAAACTCTCTCCTCTACTCCCACTTTCTCTATTTTCCATCTCTCTTGCACTCTTTTCTCTCTCTCTCTCTCACTTTTGTTCCCAGTCATCAATTGTTTCAGTTGGTTCTTGCTCAACATATGTTTCTAACTGATGCTCGTTAGGAAAATGGACGGAGGATTTTGATGGAACTGAGAGCGATTTCATAAAACGCATAAATTTTGTGTATGAAACAGAATATTTTAACTAAAAGAGAGAGAGAAAGGTCAATTTCAATAATTACTATTGCTATTACTTGAATATGTTACAATGATATTTATAACATAATCATACATCACTAATAGCAAAATTAAAAGCACATTTTACTTTAAAATTCATAAAAAATTAAAAATTAATTTTGATCGGAATCCTCTCACAATGTCTACACAACATACCATAAATGTTCAAATAAAGGCCGGGCTTAAATAAATGCCTGGTACTAAGAATCTCCAAGTATAAATACACATATTTTAGTCAATATAAGTACCAGAAGGTTTAGAGTGTCCCAAATGGCCTAACTTGTTAAGCTGAGTGCATTAAACCTGGAGTTCTGGGTTTGAATCACAGTTTTACTTCTTTTTTTATTTTATGCAACTTTTTTGTCCTGGAAAAAAATAAACGCCAGGGCTTTTATTTGAACATTTACAGTACATGTAAGGACATGTACATCATCAAAAAAAGTACAAAAAATTATATAAAAATGGAGAATCCTTTTATAGTATTTTTAATTTGGCCATGTACTATTATAGTACAGGGACTTTGGCAAAATTTTGGAGCAACTTTAAAAATTGGTAAAAAATTAAACTAGATTAGAATCAGTTCAAAATTTCTACACAACAAGGTAAGTACATGTATATCAGTGGTTGAGAATCTGGGGGCCAGGGGGGCTAGAGCCCCCTCCCCACACTTTTGATGCAGGGGGGCCAGAGCCCCCCACTTTAATTGCAGGGTGTAAAGCTCCTACCTTTGCTGCTGCAGAAGAGCAGAGCTCATCCTAATTTTGATGTAGGGTGCAGCAGGAGGGGAACTGTCCCCACTTTTCATTGTTTATGTTATTAACTTAGCAAGTTTATTAAATATCATTAGTGTCAATTCATTGCTTACTATTACATATACATACGCAAATTACTGATACCGGTAACTTAGATTTAGTATTAAGTGCTAAGGAGTATATTAGTATAACAGATGAACGCACTAAATTTTTGGAATCATTTTAAAGATATTTGAATTGATGAATATAAAAAATGAGCCCCCCCCCACTTATAGATTGGTGTCTCAACCCCTGTATATGCATCATTAAATGCAATAAAAATGGAGACTTCTTTTATTGCCATTTTTTGATAATACACTGCACAAGTTTTTGTTTGCGCCTCCCCATGTATGAGTGATTTATGCCACAAAAATTTTTCCCAAAATAATTTATTTATTCTCACATTATCTGATGCAGTTTGAGTGATGATGAGACCTCTTAATGTTGGGTACTCCAGTACTTCATGAAATCTTTCAACAACATTGACATCAGGCAACAAATAATGAGACAGATCATCAGTCAACATGCACTGAGCTATATATATAAAGAATCAAACATCAAAATCTTATCATAATTTCTTACTGTCAGACAGTTCCTGATTACATATTCCACATTGTTTCATGCGACAGGGTATGTCATCTCTTAAGTAATGCTCCCTAATGATGGAGATCGGCCCCCTCCTGGGTCTCCTCTTGCTCAATGGTAAAATAACTGTTCTATCAACTTTCTTCATGTTGTTCTTTTGCTTTTGAGGAGGAGCTCGAGGTGGAGTTGATCTTTAATGAGGTGGAAATATTCATAAGATTCATGCAAACATAATTAGATGAATTATTCATGATTAATTAATTTGAATTTTGTGGTGGCAAAAATAATGGCAGTAAGAAAGGACAACACGTTCTTGCTCTTAACTGAAGCAGTGCTCAATGGAGAAGAGAAGTAAGCGCTCAGCAAGCAGGAAAAGTGACATAAGTTTCATTTTTATTATTTTCAGAGTAGCTGAGACGCTCCTCGAAGAGTTTCTTTCCCAAAATTCAATTGATGCTTCTGTTGATGAAGATGGCGCAAGTCTCCTTCACTTAGCAGCTAACTCCAGCCCTAGGATAGCCTCTGTACTCATTTCAGCTGGTGCAGACATCAATTCCCGTACTCTTACTGATGGCTATACTCCATTACATGTAGCAGCAATGAATGGGTCTGCTGACGGAGTGAGAGTATTGTTAGGAGAAGGTGCTGATCCTACCATCATTGACACTGAATGCATGACTCCTGCTGATTATGCAATGGAGGAAGGACACTATGATATACTAACAATGCTGAATGGAGCAGGAGATGAAGAGAGAGAAGAAGAAGTGAGCGTATGCGAGACGTTTGTAAAAATAGTAATGGGATCTGCTAGTAAAAACTTTGAGTTTGAGGATAGTAACGAAACCATTTCTAGTGGCATTGATCAAGACAGCACTTTACCATTTGACATTAGTCTTTTAGTATCCAATATTGAAGATAGCGACACACCTACTGATGACTTATTTTCACTGCCAACTGCTAACAAAGCAAAAAATAATGAGACGTCTTGCTTGAGGAACAAGTCTAATGCTGAAGCAGTTGATACTGATGAGACTCTACCATTTGATATAACAGATATTGAGAATGCTGTCATTTATGATGGTACACCAAATAAATCTATTGTACAGAAAATGTCGAGTTTGAGACTAGAGAAAGAGGACATAGAGGAGGAAGAAGCAGAGGAAGAAAGTAGAGAAGAAGCAGAAAATGAAGCCACTGAAAATGAAGAGGAAGCATGTTTACAGAAGCAGGAGCAGGAAAGAGCAGTATTGTCATCATTAACAAATGAACAATTAAAGCAAAAGCTTGAATCGTTAGGTGAAGAGCCTGGCCCTATAACAAGTGCAACAAGAAATGCTTACATTTCATATTTGCAAAAGATACTGGATGGGATACAACCAGCTGGCAACAAAGGATACAAAGGCAAGAAATTATTATTGTTATTATTATTATTATTGGTATTATTGCTATAATATTTAGGCTTTAAGTATGAGCTTGCTCTGTGTCTTAATGGCACAACTGATATGCCATGCCTTCAAAAAGATGAGAAGATTGTATTTGCTGAATTCAGAGCTCCCAGTCAATCAAAGACCTATTTCAATTACATGCTATTAGACCCTGTAATGCTTTCATCATCAACTGCTAGCATTCAGTTCAATGAGTTTGTAGAATCAATATTCTACATTGGCAAAGGGAAGAATGCACGCTCAATGCAGCACTTGAAAGATGCAAAACAACTCAAAACTAAAACTGCAGTAGGCTAATTATTGTAATGCACATATAAGCATTCAGTATTATTATTATGTAGTCAAATAAAGTGAAGAGAATCTGGACTATATGGGAGAAGGGGGAAGGCATACTACTACTGCATATGTTCAATTGTATAGCTAGTGGAGAAGCATTTTGTAGAGAAGCAGCAATGATTGATGCTATTGGTAAGAGAGAGAGGGGGGAGAAAAAGAAGAGATAGCTGTATTACATAAATCTTCTATAGGAAGAGATAACCTTTGCAATGAAGTGAGAGGACATTATCATGGTCAAATGTCCACATGGTCCTCATCACAGCAAAGACTGTTTGGAGTTTATCTGCTGCACAAAGCTTACCTGTCATATAAAATTGATACACCACAGCCCATATATCCATCTGACTTGTAATTATAAGCATTGAATTGTAATATAATGTCATTTTTTTCATGGACAGAATCAATTATTTTTGTTACTTTTTTGCAATATTTGACTGGAGAATAGTTCCACATAGGTTTATGCATTATTTTTGTAATTTTTGAAAAAACTTAGTTAGTCAAATACAATTCTAAGCATTTATTGCACAATGCCAGTGCAAATATCTACTTGACACAAACGATGATACAGTAACAGATTGCTACACAATATAAAGGGAATAATTATGTTGTCATTATTAGATTAATGTTGTCCTTCAGAGGCCCACTCAGGATGAACAGTAAAATGCGATGGCATATGTCTTGTTGGAGTGAACATTGAACCTTTTGCATTTGAGACATCAGAGCTTGAGCGTCTTAATCTCCTCCCTCCTCCTCCTCCTCCTCCTTTCCCATCTGGTGGCTTTCTTGAATAAGCTGGCTGGGGCAACTCCTTAGATGACCTATAAATAATTATAAAAAAAAGATTGATTTCGAAAAGGTTTGGTGATTATAATTTGGCAAAAGTTTGATAACATGTACAACAGGATTTCCCACAAAGCATGCTATATTATAGTGAGCTAAACAGCATCCTTCATTAGCTGACAAGCAAGCACTACAAGTCAATGCATTTGGAGCAACTTAAAAATTTATTAAAAATCCAAATTAATTTTGATCGGAATCAGTTCAAAGCTGATACACAGCATAAGGATATGTATACCTATCAGAAAAAAATTATAAAAATGTGGAATTCTCTCCTAATTATTTTTGACAAAATTTGGCCTAAGAGTAACTTCAAAAATTCATAAAAATCCAAATTTAATTGAAATGAGCTCACAGTTAATACACAACATAAAAACATGTATATGTATTAGAAAAAATTATTAAAATGAAGAATTTTTTTACCATTTTTGACAAAATTTGGCCAAAGTGTACAGGGAATATGGCTCAATTTTTTGAGCAACTTTAAAAATTTATAAAAAAATCCAAATGAGATCAGAATTAACTCAAACTTTCTACACAACATAAAAACATGAATATAAATCAGAAAGAAAAAATTAAAATTCAGAATTCTCTCTTAGTCATTTTTGTCAAAATACTTTGTGCTTTACTACAGGATCTTACAATCTATGCACTGATATATGAGCACTATGCTAAAATTCCGTGGGAATCCCTGTCCGACCGATTCATAAAAATGACAGATCAAATTAAGCAATGTTCAGGCACAAATGTCTGAACATTGTTTGAATGTAATTTCAAGCTCTGATATAACACAAAATTTTTGAGGGCTAAATTTTGCTAAATTCACAAATATTCAAAGCTTTGTCAAAATCAATAAATTTATCATGGTACAAGATTGCAGACTGTAATTTTAACCACAAAAATTAAAGTGACATAATTAATTTTTTTAAAACTACAACCCTTAATTTTATTGTAGCAGGACAAACCGGTTTCTTTTACCTCTCTAGTTGTTTGTACAGTTGAGCTGTTTCCTTTTCTTGCATTCTTTGTTGTCTGCTTGGTGTCATTACAGCTGATCTCACTCTTGATGAGTGAGTTGAGGCTTTGGTTGCAGGATCATCTCTTTGACCCTGTGAACTGATTGTACGCATGAACTTTGCTGCAGTGTCACGTTCTACAAGAAAATAATGGCATAATACAAATACTGCTCATTAATAACTATATGTACCTTTCTGGCTGGCATTTGCGAGCCATTTTTCTACTCCGGGAACTATTTCAGAATTAAGACCATCACCAAAAGTCTAAAAATATAAAGTATGATGATAGACTTTAGCTACAAAATACAAATTAAAAGGGTCAATTTTCCAGATGCTTCTATTCTAGAATTTTATTAGAAACCTCTTCAAATGCTGACAAAGTGTAAAATAATGGATGCTGATGCTTTTAAAAGGTATTTTTGACCAAATTAAACTCAAAATTTCTGATTAAAATCAGCTCAATATAGGATAAGGACATGATAAATATGTATACTCACTGTTTGCATTGGGGGTAATTGATGAGGCAACTGTCTCTGTGGCTGTGCATAGCCTATGAAAAGGAACTTGAAAGTATTCTTTATGTAATATAGAGTAACGTACTGTTTGATGCAGCTGGTGGCTTAAGTAGCTGATTATAAGGATCAAAACTCTGTCCTCCATATTGGCCAGGTGGATCAAAATAAGGTCTTTGATGTAGCTAAAAATTAAATTTTAAAAAGCATATATAATTATCATGACACTTCATTGCCGAACAGCAAAGAGACAAGTATGATTAAATTGATTCTCATTCCTCTCTTTTTTCTCACCATAGTGTCCGATAGCCTTCTCTGTTTCATTTGAGTCCTAACTCTCTCCTGCTCTCTAGCCCTCTCTGTTCTTATCATATCGTGAAAGTTTATATGCTTTGGAACTGGGCCTACAGTGCATGGGCATCACAATAACAGACACTCACACTAGCATGATGTATTTCTTACGTGATGGGTCGTGTGCCAATCCCTGCAGGGCATTCATTCTGTATAACTCGGGATTGAATCCTAATTTCTGTACTCCTGTTAGCACTTCATTCCGCGAATCCCCAGCTATGTAGAGAGTCATTTAAAAAATTCAAAAGCGTCACTCACTTGTTCTGGGCCCAATGTAGTCATCGTAAAACCTTTCAGTGACATCCAACTCGAATTCTCTTCTCTTTTGTTGGCTGAGTTGTCTGGTAGGAGGTGACTTCCATATTAGATGATCCTGCAGAGAAAAAATGGGCGGGGCTCAAAGAAAATAACGAGTCTCTACCTTCTTTGGATGTGGACCTTGCCTGAACTCCATTGGTGTGCTAGGTATGCCTCCTGGCGGGTAGCTAGCGGCCACTTCTCCAGTTGAGAGCCTCCTCTGCGGTACTGGATTACCTGTAACCTCCATGGCTAGAAAAGGAGAGCGAGAGAGTCAATGCTCTTTCGAAATATCTACCCGTCAAATTAACACCTTCCCAAAGGTTGTCACCTCTCTCTCCTACCTGCTTACTAGCAAAGGGAGGAGATAAGTCAAAGCTCCCCTTAGAGATAGGACTATTCACAACCTCTCTACCTGAAATCTGATTGCTCGACTAGCTGCGTATGATAGTCACGTCTGAGACTATTCATGCTAAAAGGAGCAAGAATCCAACGCCCTTGACAACCGTTAGGTCAGCGAAAACCACTCTGCACTACACCCAAGCAACGCTGCAACTATATTTTCTCTTACCTTTCCATCTGATCCTTTTGTTATTTTTGATATTTCCATCATTAGACTTCACTGATGTCATCATCAGCAAGACCAGGCAGTACAAGGAGCAGGAGAATAAAATCTGCTACTGCTAGGATGATAACACCTCCGGATCCTAATTACCTCATCATTAAACCTTCCCCTAAACAGGAAAGCGTTAAAGAGAAACGAATTGACTCAGCCAAACTCAACCGCGAGAAGAACGAGTCGTCAAAGAAAGTATTTCCACAGCCAACCTCACAAGACAAGACAAAGGAGAGATACAGGAGCATTTATAATAAGGACTTTGAAGGATCTTACACAACACCGTTAGAACCACGTCCTACGTCACCTACTAGAAGAAACAATCCACATCCAAGCCAGGTATTATGCATACGCATTAGCTACATTAATTCTATACATACATGCATGTGTACATAATAATGTTACTGATCCTCATTATGTACTATAGCAATTTATGGTATGGAGGGTACCAACAAGAGAGATTGGGGCACAGTTCAGGCCAGGCAGTTCTATGGGTGGGCCTGTTAGAGATGATGAAAGTGGTAAGTAATGACACACGCAAAAGCTTGCAATAAGTTTGTTGCATTGTACAGAGTTTGATGACATGGAGAGCTTGTATGAGCGTTACAAGATGCCATTACCTCAGCCTTCAAGCATGGACTATGGAGCTTACCTGAGGGAAATGAGACAAAAGCAAGCATTACAACAGCAGCAGCAAATGCTCCAGCAACAACAAATGCAGCAATTTGTAGGAGATAGGGTTCCCTCTAGGCTCTCACAGAGAGGAGGAGACTATGGTATAGTTATCAAAATTTTACAAATTGAAATTAAGTATTTTTTAATTTAGACCCATACAGAGGTCCAAGACAAGGGCAGCATATACTGAGCAGGACTGTCAAAGAATCCAATCAAGACAATCTCATGGAATGGCTTAAAACGGCATCTCCTGAAGGTATTGCAATCTTTTTAAAAAGTTTTAGTAATAATTTTTCAAATTTAAACAGAGCAAGGCACTATTTTGAGGATGCTGAAAGAAGCTGAAGAAGGTCAAGCAAAGCAGGTATACAATTGGAGAGTTTATATTATAATATTCATTATACTTGTTGTAGGCCATCAGTCAGGTCATGAAGCCTGGAGCTGCCAAAGCTGCATCAGAATGGCTCTCCAAAGCAGACCAAAATGGTATAATTAAACATTAAAATAAATTTTTATTTTAGTTTTGTTCATGATAGAGAGAGAGGTTGCTGTCAGACTCTTTAGTTCTCTTGGTAGCAGATCTGGCCCTAGACAAAGGTCAATCTCAGAACCAGGCTTGAGGCCACTCTCACGTCGCAAATCACTTCCAAACCCACCAAGGAACATAGAGTAAGCTATACTTATTAAATATACCCACTATATGATTGTATTCTTTAGTCCTGCTGAACAGCAGCTCACTTCTCCAACGGTTGAGGGAAAGCCATGGCCCAAGTCACTCTGGCACCATCTGCCTGTCCGTGATGCACCGCCAAGAGTGTATCACAGAGGATCATTGTTTGGTAAAGCAACTGGCGGTGCATCTCATTACACCATTCACCCAGAGTGGCCTGATTATCAGCAGTCTGGGTTCAACTCTGATGCTGTACACTGAAACAAAACAATATATGCACATCATACACTATACATTACACATGAAAAACATTAATATACTAATAACTTAAAATGCACAAACAAGCAATGACATATACCTTTACTACTATTATGCATGTTAATTATAATAGCCATATTTTAATATTTAGTGTCAGTTTTTTGTCATAATGATAATTTAAGCAGTTGGCCATTCAGGATGGAGAGCAAAATGTTGTCCTCTTGGTTGATGAGGTTTGCTAAAAACAGACCCACCACCCATAAGTGGCTTTGATTTCTGTGGAGGCTTAATACGATGATTCCACAGTACTACCTCTGGAGCTTCTGGCTTCCACACTTTACACTCACACCTATAATACAATAATGAGAATCATTCACAGTAATGCACTACTGCTGCTAGCATACTTGAGTACATGTCTATATGATGATCCTGTTCCACTGGAGCTACACTGGGAGCACTTGTCTGCTGAGTATGGTCTCATTACTGCTATACCTTGAACTCCTAGCTCCAATGGACTACTATGTATTGATGGGGCAGATCTTTTTTGCTTTGGCCATGTACGAGCTTTGCATATTTTAGCATGAGAGCGCTGGCTGCCTGATGGTTTTTCATAGCTGGTTGATATCCGTGCCAAATTTTGTAGCACATTTACTGCTACAGTCCGATCTAACAAAGATAGAATGTGCATATGTATGTCAGTATGTGTACATGAATGTTTAAGGCTACCTTCAGTATCAATAGTTGTGAGCCATTCCTGTATAAATGGTGTAGAGCTGGGGTTGAATACTTGTGATAAAGCCTTGTCACATTTAAATAAATTATTATTAATAATAATCAAGCAGATGCATATTTATTACCTTTTTTGTTTCATAATCCTCTGTTCGTGTTGCACTAAGCATTTTATCAAACACTTCCTTTTCTATGATACACTTTATAATAAGACATGTATAATAAATGCTTATATGAACCTCTTGGATTTGCTTGTTTGATCCAATGCTTTACTGCTGCATAACTTGGTGGTTTCAATAGCTTCTCTAAATGCTATACAGTGATGTATAATAGATATTAAAGTATGGGCAGCATCCTTCATACCTGATTGCTGTCCCTTGCCAAACTGCTTGTACTAGACCTGCTATCTCTTGTTGTCAGTTTCATACTTTTTCCTGACAACTCCAACCCAAAATTCTCTACACAAACACACACAAAGCAATGACTCAATGAGAGGTATAGGTATTTCAAATGATTACTTTTATTTCCAGGAAAAGGGATTTTAGCAACATTTGTTATTGGTACTTCACACTTATCATCACCAGCTATAGAATAATTAAGACAAGGATACTTATAATTTGCACTTACGTCTAATATTGCTTGAATAATCTTTATAAAAATCTTCATGTATGTCTCTTAACATCTCCTCAGTAGGTGCTACTGCTCTGTCGTGCTTATGTATTCTTGTTGGTATCCTCCACTGAAGGAACATCTATTAAATACCAATAGCATATTAACAAAAGTACATAATGCCTAAAGTATGCTCTTGGTATTAATAATTTCAAAAATTATAGTGTTACTTTTGATGGATGAGGGTTGTGCATCCTGGTTGCTGATGATGGCCTAACTTTAGGGAGTGGAACTGGTTTCTTCCTTTTATAGTCTGCACTATAACTAGTCTCACCCCATACTTTGCTGCCGTATGGAGTTTCAGCCAAAGACAAACTAACCACTTGTCTAGCTTCTACTGCTGACTGGGCTCTCTTTCTTTTTGGTAGATCCACTGGCTCTCTCTTAGTAGCAGTGGCATCACTAGTACTGCTAGTACTGGCAAGATTGTGGCTCAATCCTGGAGTCTGTGAGCGTGTAGTGTGTGCAGAGTGACCTCTCCTCTCCTTGCTTGTCACTCTCAGTGGGGAAGGAGTAGATCTACCAGTAGGGAATGGTATCAAAGGGGTTGGGGTAGCAAGAAGAACAGGTCCTTCTCTTGACATATTGTATTGCACACACTGCACTATTAGCAAGTGGTCTTATTATCATATTATATGAATGCACTATACATGTACATATCTTACTAACTTATATGGTCATAAGGTTATATTCATTGAATGGTATAACCTATCTACTTAACAGCATTCATTATTAGAAAAACATTGTTATTAATCATGATACCACCATACAATGGCCAATAAGTATATTTAAGACACTGTTTCACAAGCATACACCCAGTGGACTGAGCCCCACCTTGCAACAGGAGTCAACGCCCACGCATAATTACTTTAATGATACAAAGGACAGAATTACATGACACACATAGACAATGTTCACTTTCATATTATGTCAAATATGAAAGCAAGGAGTTTCTCAAATAACAGGAAAAGCTGCATCAGTAGCAATACCACACATGTTTTCTCCTCTTAGAATTCGCATATAGCCCCATCCACCCCAACTGCTACCATAGCTAGAGTATAAAAGTAATAAAATTATTATATTTTGAATATTAATATGTACCTGTTTTTAACGATCCAATAATCAATGTTTTGATACGTACCATAACCAACCACTAGCATCTCATGAGTGAGTAGATAGTAATTACTGTAACACTCTGTTTCACTGTATATACCGCCACCATAAAACTATAAAAACTCTAATATAAGAATAAGATGATTCAATGTTTCTTGCCTGGAAGGATTTGTGCCTATGATCAATGGAGACAATGACAGGCCCCACCAGACCCACTGCACTCTTCAGATCACTCTCTGATTTGGACTGTATATAATACACACCTGATATTGTCGCACCAATTTTAGCAGAGTTGTAGCGACAAGTCTTATCCTATAAAATAAAGCGCATGACAATTGTTGAGATGTTGTCAACTATTTTTGTTACCATTGCCTTGTATGGATAATAGTTTTGTGTATCGATGCCTCCGCCGTTTTCTAGAATGTATTTGAAAGTGTTCCTGTAGTTGCCTCCATTACAGCCAGCATTCCCATAGCCAGCTAGTATTATTTAAATGCATACACTGGAGGATATGCAGTGTATTATTACTTGAGCAGTCAATGACATTTTGTTCACTGAGTCTAACCCTAGAGCCAGTGCTAATGGCATGATGGCTCTCAATTGAACCAACAGTAGAAAACGCATAGCAAGAATGACACCTATATTCACCCTGTGATTGTAAAAGTTGCAAAATTGAAGTAACATTGAAAACGATATTGCATGCATAAATTGGTGTACCAGCATAATAGTTCTATTATTTAATTTCACAGACACTGTGCATGTATAATTATTAGCATATACTTGGCTCTTGACGTAAGTGACGACACTTTTCTTCCTCCAGTCAATAGAATATGGTAACTCTACATCTCTAGGAGGGTTATACTTCTGCCCAATTACCTCATCAGAATTCTCATTGCTCACAATATGGCAAGTATAAATACTTGAATATTCCTCTGAAGTCTATACAATAATAATAATAATGACAGGTACTACAGTATATGTATAGGATTAAAAATTTCTTACTAAATCTCCAAATTGATTCATTCTTAATGTAAAACTCAGGTTCTTAGCATTGTGCTCATCAATATACTTCATATTGTCTTGCCATATTGAGTATCGCTTTCCCTCTTCCTCGCTGCTTTGGTAAGTGATTTTATGCTCTCCTTTCCACAGCCTCCATTCCTCAGCAAACAATCCTTCAGTGTCAAGAGGCTCAGCTCTCACAAGTAAAACTACATTTATAAATACAATCCATGAAAGCAAAGCCATTGCTGCAGGAGAGTTCTAGCTCTTAGACTTCGTTACGTAAAAGTCTACCATGTACTCTTTACTCTCTCTGCTATTTAAAAAAGTAGATTATGTTTGCTTCTTGTAATCAGGATGGCAGGAGTATTGTTTGTCCCATTCAGAGCTACACAAAATCAAGGAGAGCTATGAATGAAGTGGCAATGTGCTTAAATGCACGACAAAAGCAAAAATTTAGTTCCACTGCTTAGAGTGTCTGGAACTACACAAAAAGCACACAATAAATATCAGTGTTCACAAGTTATAGTAATTTAGCTTAGTTCAGCAAAGGTCATAGCAGTATTAAATGAGATTACATACACACTTAAAAAATAGAGTTTAATAGAGTGAGGAGTCACTATAGATTCAGATGTTAATACCGTTCTCCAGGTATTCTCTGAGATCATCTTGTTCGAACAAAGTCTGAATGAACAAAAAAACAACCATACATAATTATCCATTAAGATTTTCTAATGTAATGACATGCAATAGAGACAATGCAGAAAAAGCATTATACACTATTATTATTTTAATATAATACCTCAATAACGTAAGCAGCAGCTCTAGTCATGTCTTCAAACACGTCTGCAGCAATATTTTGGATGTTGTCACAAAACTATAATCATAAAAGTGTAACAACAGGGCTCTATGGTGTGTATATGCTTACTTTGTGATAGCAAGGATCTAATGGAGCATTAACAATGCCACCATAAGCTTCATACTGCTCTTTAGTTTTCAATAATTCAGCACCAGTGAAAAGGCCACCAGCTACAATAAAAAACAATGTAAATTATTATTATAAATCAGTTCTACCTGGTATATTGACTTCAATAAAAGGACCGTAATCAGAGCGACCAGTAAATGGTACTATATCATAAGCTAGTTCATTAGTTCTGATAAAAGATTAAAAATGTTAATTATCAGTTAATTAGAGCTTACTCAAAATATTGTATGAAAAGATCTTGAATTGTAGTTGAAGCAGCCAAGATCTCTTCATCAGCCTAAAAATATAAGGTGAACACAATAATGTATTACTATTTTAATAATGATAACTCACTGATGAGCCATTGTATATTCCACGAATGTAATTAGGTGAAGCCTAAAATTTATGATAACGGCACAGTTTAAATTAAACTAATGTAACCTACAATCATGTCAAAGTTCAGATTGAGAGCAATACCAGATCTCTCAAGCTCTGAGAGTTGAGCTACGTAATAAGTAGAGCCTAATAGGCCAAGCTCCTCAGCACCCCACCAGGCAAATAAGATCTATTTATCATTTAAAAAAAAAGTTACATGTATGTGATATAACCTGGTTTTTGGGTGTCTTTCCTAGTTTCTTAAGAGAAATTGCTAGCCTCAAGTTAGCCATTGAGCCACTCCTATGCATACAAAAATATAAATAATAACTAATAATAATAACAACAATAACAACAACAACAACAATAATAGCATGCTTCAGCAGCACAATAGTACATGTGCATGGCATTTGGGGAACTTAGAAGATCAATTTTAATTGGAATCACCTGAAACTTGCTACACAACATGCATGTAAAGGCATGTATGTATTAGAAAAAATGGAGAATTCTCTCCTAGTCATTTTTGGTAAAATTTGGCCAAGTAACCTTACTATATAGTACAGGAACTTTGATCTGATTTTTTAGTAGCTTTAAAAATTTGTAAAAAAATCTCAATATCAGCTTAAAATTTCTATACAGCACAAGAACATGTACCATATTAGGAATAAGTTTAAAAGTGAAAATTTATCTTAAAAATAAAATATACCCTGTAAAAATACATTGCATAATTTTTTGAGCAACTTTAAAATCCACTAACAAAAAGCTGTATGAGCACTATGCCAAAAGAACCTTGATAATAATAATAATGATAATGATAATAATAACAATAATAATAATAATGATAATAATGATGCTGATAATAAATGATAATAATAACTACATCATTTACTGTGTAATTACCCATTGTCATTGATGCCAGGGCCAGGTGGAACAGAATCTAAATGAGAACCAACCTATGGACACAACATTTCAAAACAAAAACCGGTCAACATACATGTATATTACGCACACACACACACACACACAAACACACACACACTATTATATTAACGTACAACAATGGTTGATTCATTAGTGCCACTCTCAGTTCTAGCAAATACATTATAAGTGATAGCTTCAGTTACTCTTGTGTATGTAGAGATGGTAACTTGTACCGTCTATTGATTAATGTGAAAATTATTACAATCATTATAATTATTATTAGCTTATAATAATAATAATTATTATTAATATTATAACTCACAGCATTATAGTTCATTAGTTGACTAGCAACAACAGCAGTGACGCCAATTGCTGGTATATCAACTGTCCTTATTTCACCAGTAGCAGTTTTATCTAGAAATAAAACAAACTAGTGATTTAAGGAAACCCAGTTTTTCAAAATGGCTCCAAAATCTTCCCATTTTGATTACACCATATTTTATACATATTGATGTCCTTATGCTATGTAAAAAGCTTGATCAGATTCCAACAAAAATTTCCAGGATTATGAGTACCGTATAAGTGGTTTTTTCGAGGGTTGCAAATTTCGCGAATTTCGTGAATTCCCTTCTAATTCGCAAAAATAAAATCCAGGAAAATCAATTTAATACGGTACCCGCATGGCACACGTGGTAGGATTCGCGAAATTAAAATCCGCGAATTGGAATTTTGGCAGATTTTGCGAAATATAATTCCCTCGAAAAAAACCACTTATACAGTACTTTGATAAATTTAAAATGTTTTTATACAAGTCATAATTGAAAAATTATGAACATATTTAAAAAATAAGTATCTATAGTCTAGACTTACCATACACTCTACTAGCTGGAGGACCATTAGTATCACCTTCATCCCGTCCAAAAATTACAGCCTTAGCACCACCAATAAAAGCATTTTCAGCCTAAAATGCAAACCACAGAATGCACATAAACCAACAGCATTGAGAACTGTACTTTGAAATAAAGTGAGCAGCCTTTCTGATCATTGTAAGTCATTAAAACAATACTGTCTTCAACATTATCTAAATCCCCATCACATCCATAGTTATTGTCCCCTTCCTCCATCACAGACACAAGCTCTCCAGTACAATCATCACATGAACCAGAATAGGTCATTACATTAAACTGTGAAGTCTAATAGTGCATGGATGAGTGGATGCTCCATTATCTATGTTAAGTGGAACTTGGGTGGCTAACCTCAGCAAATTCAAAATTATGTCCCTCAACAACAATTCTAAACACAGCTTCATTAGGACGCAAGTTCTCAAAAACAGGAACCTAAGAACACTATTATTACAATCATTATGTATGCAAATGCAGTTACAGTGAAGTATTGCTTGTATGGTGAATAACCATTGTCTTCCAACTCCTTGAATACATATTCTACAAAGAAAGTATACTAAATACCAATAATTTTAACTAATATTAACCTGCTGAATTATTGTAACCATTTAAAACAGAGCGACTGAGTAAAAGAAAAGTGAATAAAGATAAATATTAAAGGCTCTTTTAATACAGGAAGCTGTCAGCAATAGCAAAATGTAATTTACCTGTTATCTATGCTTGTCTCCTGAAGTTCCTTTAAAAAAATTTAAATCAATTGTAGAATTATTAATATTATAACAACTGCTTACTCTCAAAGCCTGGAGCAGCTCTTCACTATTCACTGAATCAACAAGAGACTCTGAAGTACTACTGGAGCTTGAGTCCCTACTCAATACCACTGCAAGGACTACTGCTATAATGACAATGGCGACCAGCAGGACGAGTATAGCAATTGCCAATGTAATGAAACGACGATTTAATCTTTGATGTAGCTTGGGCTGGGGCTGAAGCTCCTGGGAAGCATCAGAAGCTCCAGCTCTAACAATAAACAACAATCACAAGTATATACTACTAAACCGTAATATGCATATGTATATACGACAACAAGAGTACTCTTGACAACAATGAAGGGCTGAAAGGTCTACTACAGGTTTAAGATGAGCTATACCAGTTATGTTAAATGTTTTTATAAGAGGGTCAATCATGTCATGTGCTTGTTGATAAAGTAGTGCTGTGAATTAAGTCATACAAACATTGATTGCCAATAAAAACACATGCAATAAAATCTAGCTAGCCAAACTAAGATAAATTTACACTTCAGTTGTAGGCTACATAAATCATATGCTATTGTGCAGTTTGCAGAGATGGATACACAAGAGCAGATGCTTGATGATGCAAAGTCTGTTCTACCTTACACCAGCTGACTCACTTGAAATAAGTCTTAAGCATAGGAGTCTTCTCTGTACTCTAAAGAGAAAAAAGGATAAAATTTAAGCACTCAAGCTGCTATATTACCTCAGCCATGGTTGTCTGATCTCTGCTTTCTGTCTGTCTTTGTCAATGCAGCCAACTGAGCCAAGCCCCTTCTTCTCTGCAACTTTTAACGTATACGAAGATGCACGTAAAATATCCTAAATATAGATGGGAGGGACCAGCCGTTGTCAAGACGATGGAGCTACAAGTTGAGACTGGTCTGAGCTCTCGCCCTCAGTTAGACTCAAACGACAGAGCAGCATTAACAAGCACACAGCAATCCGACCTCAACAAAGAGAAGGTAATGGAGGGAATATCCTGGTACCAGTTTTAATCTTAAAATAGGTCAAAGTTAGACTGCAAAACGAAAAATATTTCAGAAAGCATCCTGAGATACCATTGCTTTTGGAATCATTCCTTCAGTAAGAAAAGAGGAAAATCTTACTTGTAATTAATGATCGCATTTATAAAAAACATGCATTCCCAAGCACTGAGCTGATCTAAAAATTTAAATGATAAAATAATTTTTTACTCCATTACAGGAAAGTGTTACTTAAAAAACCTGATGATATCAAAGCGTTTGCAGCAAGTAAGCAACACATAGCATGCAATGACCTAATCACCAAAAATATTTCACAGGTTATTTCACTGATCCAAGACTGCGCGAGATTATAAACTTGAAACTGAGTGAGAGACAAAATGAAGATATATGAAAAACAAAATTTTCATCCCACAAAACACTTATAATAATAATAATAATAATAATAATACACCAAGCAGCAATCCTTCTCTCTCTCTCTATCATTTATCAACACACACACATTATGATAAATATCCAGAATGTCTTCATTCCTCTACCCATACATGCAGGTATACTTTCTATAGATAATGACCAATAATAATATACATTCATTTCTGTCCATTTCTTTGCCATCTCTTATACAAGTTGAGTATTGTGCTAATCTCAATGCCATTCTGTGAAGCAGTCATTAGCAGTGATGCTTTTTCATCAAGGACACTATCAGTCTCTCTACTACTACTGCCTCCTCTTTTCCCTTCAAATGCTCTATCATAAAGATGCTTGTCTATTAGGAGTGTAGAGAGGCCAGTGGTGGTTGTTGAGGGGTCAGTGTTGTAATATAAAGCACAATCAATAAGACCATCAAATAACCTAATAAGAATTAGAGAAAGTTAATAATTACATATACAGAGAGGGGAGAGAGAAAGATAAAGTATATAAGTACATGTAGTTTTTGAGGGAATTATATTTGCATGGCAGTTTCTAATTTGCAGGACTTGCATGTAAATTAATTTTGTTTTAATTTCACAATTTCTGTGAATCACCAAGTAATTTACAAATTCCAGCAAAAATTAATGTACATGGCCCTCAAAAAATTGCAAAGTGATACTGCAGGGTTTCCCACAGGATTTCAGCATAGTGCTAATGCAGCTGGATTGTCAAGTTGCTCAAAATTGGGCCAAAGACCATGTACTGTAGTACAGGGTATTTTGACAAAAATCATGAGAAGAGAATTCTCCATTTTAATAATTTTTCTTAATACATATACATATACTTATGTTGCATAGAATGTTTGAACTGATTCCGATCAAGTTTGAATTTTTTTTACAAATTTTTAAAAGTTGCTCAAAATCGGGTGAAAGTTTGGCCAAATTTTGCCAAAATTAAAAAGGAGAGAAATTTACATTTTGATAATTTTTTTCTGATACACATACATGTACTTGTGTTGCATAGAAATTTTGACCTAGATGTAATTCCGATCAAAATTAGATTTTTTAATGAATTTTTAAAGTTGATAAAATTTTGACAAATTGCTAAATTTCTGCTGATCGGTGAGTTTTAGTTTGTGGCCATTTGCCATTAAACATGTGCATAATGTTTCAAAATAGAGGCATAAGTCTGAGAAGCAACGGTAACCCACTCCAAAATTCCACATTACAAAGAATAGAAAAGGGAAGGTAAATTACCAGACATTAATATCTTGGTTCCTTGACCTCTTCCTGTGAGGATCTGCAGTTTCTGATATATTTTGTGCCTTCAGGAACTTGTTGCCTTCTTGGAACTCTGTCTCAAGAAATTTGATTGCCTCTCTTGCAGCAAAATTGCTCTTCTCTTTTTTCAGGAGGTCCAGCGACTCAATAACTAAAGAGAAAAATGAGCAGAAAAAAAATATTACACGTACTTTTATCATCAAATAATAAAATAAACTATTAACCTGATTTGGCAATTATAATAACAAAGTTTTGTGTTTTCATCAATTTCTTCACCAAGTGAAGATTATGACACAGGGTCTGAGCATCAGGTAAAAGATAAGGTGTGAACAGGATCCCTTGGGTCTTAGCACTCGCCTCACTTAGAGATTTAACCTCAGCCTATCGTAATATAATTATTAGAAAAAATAATTAGATTAACTAGAACCTTGAGCCTTTGCTGTGCCATCAATTTCATCAGCTTTGATCTATTGGATTTTGCCTATTCATGATAACAAAAAGAAACGAATAAAATAAAGAAACAATCAATAAATAAAATGATAATAATCATACTTCAGTCTCGAATTTTTCTTTCCTCATTAATTCTGCTTGAGCTTCTTCTCTTTTCCTCTGGGCTGGACCAATGAACAAATCATTGACAGAATCATATTCAAACAATGGAACAGACTAACAGAAAAAGAGAGAGGAGAGATAGTGCGATATAATGGTAAAAACATGCAACAATACATGTACATACATGTATATGTACAATCACTACAATGTGCATGTACATACATGTAAATGTAGTCTTACTTTGGATGTAGCTATAAAATGACCAAATTTAATAAAACATTTTATCCTATTAACAACCTAACAAGGATATAAGAATAAATTTACAAGAATAAATAAAAAGTAAATCACTTGTGGCACGTTAGAAGGGGATGAGTCTGAGATTGAGAAGTCAATGGATTGGTGGGTTCTCAATAAAGGAGAAAACCCTCTCAATGTTTTATCCTCAGGTAGAGGAGTGGCTTGCGTCCAATCAGAACAAGAGAAAGAGGAGAGACAGGAATCAGACACTAAGCCTAAAAATGACACAAAATGCTGTGACATACATGCTCTTTAGTAAAATTTTAAGCAAATTTAAAAATTCATAAAAATCCATTTTATGATCTGAATCAGCTCAAACTTTCTACACAACATAAGAATATGTACATACATGTATGTACATGTATATTAGAAAAAATTATTAAAATGGAGAATTCTCTCCTTGTGATTTTTGTTGAAATACTCTCAACAGGATCTTACAATCAGCTGACAAGAAGCTGCATGAATGCCGAAATCCTGTGGCAAAACCTGATCTAAATGTACATGTACACATAGGTGTGTAAGCATACCTGAACTATGTAGTGTCTTTAGACTAGGAATGAAATTAAGAAGATCAGCTAGTCTGGACCATATGGTATCATTACAAGACTGGAGGAGAGAGAGAGAGAGAGAGAGAGAGAGAGGGAATAAGATTAACAAGAGTCAATATTGAAATAAGAAGGAAGGAGGAAAGGAAAGGGAAAAATCAACATTAATTGGAACTACAGAGAAGGGCATGATAATAAAAGTAATCATCAAAGACATACTTTCCCATAGGTTGCTATTACAACAGGATAAGAGAGCAGCCAGTCCATCATAACCTTAATGGAGCTAATAGTGGGCTCTCCATCAAGGAGGGCACAAGCTAACTGAACTGCTAACTCATGATCTGTCTTCATTTGTAACTGACTAATGTCTTCTGACAGGGTCTAGTAAGAGAAGAAAGAAGAGAAATAAATAATGATGTAAACTTTACACTGACAAATTTTAGTTGGGTTTTTCATCAATTCATTACAATATTTTGCTAAACTAAAATTTAGTGCTATGTAGTACAAACATGTACATGAACGTGCATGCCTGTACATGTACATACATGTATGTATACACAACTATAACAGGGCTTCCCACAAAGCATGCTAAGTGAACTAAACAGCATGTTTCATGAACTGAAAAGGAATATTACGTACATGGCTTTTTGACCAACTTCAAAAATAAAAAGTCGTATAAAATTCAGTTTTGATTAGAATCAGCTAAAATTTTCTACACAATACAAAAACGTGTATATGTATTAGAAAAAAATGAAAAATGAAGAATTCTCTCCTAGTCATTTTTTGGAAAAATCTGGCCAAAAACTCTGTACTATAGTACAGGATTTTGGCCCAATTTTGGAGCAACTTTAAAAAATCATAAAAAATTTAATTTTGATCGAAATCAGCTCAAATTTTCTACACAACATAAAAAAACATGTATATGCATCGATAGAAAAAATAATAAAAATGGAGAATTCTCTCCTAGCCATTTTTGATGAAACTTGGCTATGACCATGTACTATAATAGTACAGGGTCTTTAGCAGCATATCAAAATCCTGTGGGAAAACCCTGAACTATAAATGCAATTACATGTACATGTACATTATCATTACTTACAAATTACTATTACAATTATTATTACATGTAACGAATTGTTAAATAACTCACTTTATCCTCAGTAGATGTGACATGAAAACCTGATGGTTGACTGGGAGCAGCTCTTCCTTGAGGTGCCAGCGAAAAAGTAGCCGCAAGATTAAACTGTCGACGAGTCCTGCCCTTGGAGGGTGGAGTCTTTGGCCTAGTCTCTGCCTTTAAAACAGGACGGGGCTCCGGTGGTGGGCGTGGCTTTATATCACGATCAGAATCAGCTGAGTCTGATTCGCTGAGACTATCAATGACGTCAATATTACGTAGCTTTTGTTTATTTTTCTTATCACAGATCCCGATGTCTTCAATGAGTGAAATACTAGTATCGGAATCGGAATCAGAATCAGGATAAGACTGAATATGGTCACTATCATTATCATCAGTGCTGCTACTATTGGAGTCGCTGTCTCTCTCTCCCCTCCCCCTCCTCCTCCTCCTCCTCCTATCAACCTGTCTCTTCTTCAATGGCTTCTTAGTTCCTACTCTAGCCTCTCTTTTATCAGTCTCCACATCTCTCTTCCTGCTAAGGTCAGAGGTTAAGTGACTGGGATGATCATTATCAGCTAATGATTTATACAACTGATCACTTCTTGGATCCTTGTCTCTTCTCAGTCCTGGGATGCCCCCTTCAAGACTAATCTCTTTGCTGTTCTCTTGAAGTAGTTTCACAATGCTGACATCATTTGACTCCAACAGTTCATGATAATCAGGTAGAGAGGCAGAAGGGCCTTTAGTATTTAGCTTAGCTACTTCAATTGTGAGGCATAAGAGCTTCTTGTATGAAGAGAGCAGGAGATTGGATAACACTGAGAATGCAAAAGCACAAGCTAATAATGTATCAGATGAACCTAAGAACAAAGAATAAAATGATTTAAATTCAAAAGGGAGAGGGGTAGGAGTGTAGCTCAGAGATATAAGAAAAAATTTAAATGATTATAATAAATTATGTACTCTTGATAGTAATTGTACAAATAAGTATTTATAAAGAAATAAAAGTACATGTATATTCCTTATAATATGTGGCTGATTATGGGATTATGTGGATAAGGAAGAGAGGGGAGTTAAGGAATAGACTAGGGAGAGACAAAGAATGAAGACACCACAGATACAGACAAGCCACAAATATTTGGTTCAGTTCCAATAATACTGATATGTCTTTCACTCCACACCTTACAAAATACAGTCCATTCCAATTAATAATTAATAATTGTATTATAAAATAAACTATAATTATTATGATTACAACAAACGCAACAGGGACTTACATGTGGATGTACATTGACGTTACATATAAACTTTATTAACAACAACACCATAATTGTACATGTAACTATGTACTTATTACAAGTGTACATTAGAAAGCTGTCTGCATGTACATGTACAAATTACATGTACACATACATGTACATGTATACATACATGTACATGTATAAAGTGATCATTACCTTTAAGTCTTAGGTTATAAGCAGGGAGGAATGAGAGAGAGCAGAACTTGAGTAATGTACCATCATCTAGTACTGGAGGGCTGGGATTACTACCAGGACTATCAGCCTTTGGGAGAGAAAGAGAGAGGAGGAGGAGGAGAATATACAGTACACATAATGTTGTCTAAAATTGTAATGTGATATCACTCCAAAAAGAAAATGAAAAACCTTTGACAGAATTATACACACAACACAAAATGGCAGAGAAATACAAAATATATGAGGGACTATAAAAAGAGGCAATATTTAAACTGGTAGAGGTAGAACTGTGCTGTAGGTGCACACCTGACATTAAATAATTCACATGCCAATGAGAGTAATGTAACATACAATGTATACTACAATGCAATGTGAGATAATTAAAAATGAATTATCACTTGTTCTCATTACCAGTTTGCCTAGTTTCTTTGAAGCTATTGCAGGGCATTCCTCAGTATACAGCTGTAAATCAAAGTCCAAGCATTCTTCAAATAATGAACTAACGACTGAACAAAGCTCAGAGACAGAGAGAGACTCCAATGGATCACTAGAACCAACTGGTAATGAAGCAGGGGCTGCTGACTGGCCCTTCTCTCCTGATGGCCTATAAAAAGAACATGTCATAATAACAATTATTGTGTTACAATTTTTGGCTGTTATGATCAGACGTTTGTGTGTACATGGAGCAACAAACAAAATAAGGACAGAAAAACAGGATAAGATCATTAGTGTCAATTACAAATGTATACATGTCACATATTGAACGTGTGACACGCATTGTGTGTAGTAAATGCAGTTACTGCCCATCGTGTGCAAGTGTATAATTGTGTATGTGTGAGTATGTGGTTGAAACCTATTGAGCACAACCGATAGGGAGCTTAACCACAAATCAAGAGTAATTAACAATAATAATACTATGTTTGGATTTATGTTATAAATAAATAAATATCATTATTATCATTATTATTATTATCATTATTATTATTATTATTATTAATGTGAAAATGCATGTGTGTACAAGTATACTGACAATCATATTCTCCTCTTTCCCTTCACCTCCCCCTCCTCTCTCCCTCTCTCTCTCTCTCTCCCTCTGTCTGTCTCTGTCTGTCTCTCTCTCCCTCTCTCTCCCCGTCCCTCCATCCCTCTGGTTACCTAGTGGATGATATAAACATGTCCTGAAGTTGAAGGAAGCGGCAGAGAAGGAGCTCCTTCTTAAACTGAGGAAGTTGTTGCTCCATTATTGTTTCCTTGGAGGATTCTAGTTTGGACAAATGAGAATAATTCTTCCTAATGAGTCTATCAAAGTTCCTCTCTACACCGGGAAAGGGTTTAGGAGCAGTCATACTGGAAATGGAGAGAGGGGGAGGGGGAGAGAGAGAGGGAGAGAGAGAGGGGGGAGAGAGAGGGGGAAGAGAGAGGGAAAGAGGGAGGAGAGAGAGGGAAAGAGGGAGGAGAGAGAGGGGGGAGAGAGAGGGAGAGAAAGAAAAGTGAGAAGTAAGTGAAAGCAAGGGAGAGAGAAATAAGTCATGATTATGTCAGAATCATAGCATCTCCTGGCTATAGTACAGGTCAGCCAATAACAGGACGTGGTAATAATGATTAACCACTTTTAATGATAAATAAAAGCAAAATTATGCAGCCAACAACACTCAACGTCAGTACATGTACAATATGCATGTACATGTACATGTATGTGTATTGTATACATGTACATGTATGTGCATTGAACAAGTCACAGTAGCTACTGTACATGTACATGTACATGTATACCTTCTTAGATAATAGAAAATTGCATCAAAATAATTATTTTGAGACTCAGAAAGAGCAGCTAACTGGTTGTAAGGAGCACCTGAAACAAAACAAAGGAAAGAATACGGTAAATAAATAAATAAATAAATAAATAGAGACTCTTTTAACTACAACCACAATTGGATAAAAGAGTACATGCACTCCACAAAAAGAGATAGCATAAAATATCTTTGTTAATCTACATGTATCTCTTCCCTATCAGACTATTACTATTACATCGAGTATCATATTACAGTTTATAAAAGACATCTGTCCACTGTATAATCATCTCTTTCTGCATGCACATCACGTCATTATGTATGTGGACTGGCATGATAAAATACACTGTTATTATTAAATAAACTATCATGAGAGAAAAAGACATAATCACTATCACATAGAGATACCCACTACTTACACAGACACACACACACACACACACACAGTCACCTTTTACATAAATACAATTACAGACTGCACAAGGCCATATACAACAAGTACACTCTATACCATTGAAGCTTCTCTCTATGGCTAATGGTTAATAAATTAAGTCACAAGGCAGGCTTCTGTACTTAGAGTGTGGTTTGTGGTTAGGCCATATATTGACATGGCAGTAATTGGTTTTGCAAGTGAACATCTAGAGCCTCAGTGTCTCCATCTTTCTCTCTCCTTATCAAAGGCTAGGGGCTTCTGATTTGTGTAGTGGTGAGGTTTCTATGGTGACTGAGAGAGGGTTAGTTTGTAAGCTAATGGTGTGTGTATGTACAACATTAGTAACTGGTTAGAGCTTCTGATTAAAATGATTATACCTTATGATATAATGTGTGTGTGTGTACATGTACATGTATAAGAATTGTTTAATGATAATGATGACATACATGTAGATGCATGAGAAATGGATCGAGGGCATAAGTGAAAGGAGTTATACTTTACAATTAATTATGGGAAGGAGAGGAGAGCACTACATGTACATGTATTGCGTTCCTGATTATAATCAATAATTATTCAATTGGCTCTAATGATGATTGTATAAAATACATGCAACATTGAATTATGTATTGTTAGATAATAATCATATGTGAAACAGATGTGAGAAACATAAAGGAGAGAGAGAGAGGGAGAGAGAGGGGAAGGGAGAGAGAGGGGAAGGGAGAGAGAGAGAGGTTGAAATACTGAAAATGAAACACAGAGCAGAGCATGGATCTAACACCATTGCATGGCCATACATTATCAAAAAATGACATAAAAATAACACTCAATATTATTGCAATAAAATAAACAATAACAATAAAAAGATATCATTATCGTAACTTCAACGCCTGCTATTAGCCATGAATCACAAATAATAATAATAATAATAATAATAATTGTTATGATGATTACAATGATAATAAATAATGGCAAAATTGTAGTTGCCATTCACATACATGCAATCGAGGTCAAACCACCCACGCACTTAATTAAAACTAGAGTATCACACACAATGCTGTGATAGTGTTTTACTATAGACATTGATAAAAAGATATGAATTATATTAAAGGTACAATGCAATATACACACTCCAGTGATAAGGACATTAGAGTGACAGATAGAAAGAGAGAGAGAGAGAGAGAGAGAGAAAGAGAGAGAGAGAGAGAGAGAGAGAGAGAGAGTCCCTACCATTCCCAGAATCCAAGACAATAGCTTGCTGATAAAACGCAACAGCATGCTCAGGACTAAACCCAAGTTCGACTTGATAACGAGCTAACAAAAAAAGGAGAATAACAATATCACATAATAATACGGTATAATGGTAGCATCCTATAAGACAGTGTGTGTGTGTGTGTGCCTGTTTGTTGTGGTTAATAACTTTGTGGAAGTAACTTATAATAATAGAAGAAGACAAGAAGATTAGACTGACAGAGAATTAACACATTAAAAGGAATCAAGGTCTTCAGTAGTCTAGCCAGGATTCAGTACCTTTAGTCTATGCATACACAAAACAGATCATGTATCAACCTACAAAACCACCTCAAACACAGTGTACTAAGTACAATCAAGAGTGGGTACAGTGTATTTCATACAATGTGCATAATGTACATCTAATCAGTCAGCAAATTAAAGAAGCTTCTATATAAAATTATAAGAATGGGAACATTGCAATGCCTGTAATTAGGAATAGCAACCAAACACGCCCACACTAGCGTACGTACATGTACATGTATACTGCAAAATAAGTATTTTTAAAGGAGTTCATATGTATCTGATTACAGCTAGCTTCAACACGAGACTGCAGAGTGTAGCCGTACAATAAGATTAACAATATCTCATTACAAAAGAAGACCGATAATGGAGTCTACTGGAGCCAAGAAATTTACTTAATGTACATACCAGCACCAATTCATCTAGACACCTACATACTAATAGACAAAGAAAATAGGAAACGAATGTAATGACATGTTTACTGTACAAGGGCTATACTTAAAATGTGGATTTGTCAAAATTTTGTGAGCCAGAATTTAAAATTAAATGACATTTCCTAGCTTGCCATAAATTTTTTGGAGAGTTAAATTGTAAGTTTAGGCACAAGACATACCTAGTAATTCACAAAATTGATGTAACCCTTATACTGTACATATACACATTGAATACAATACAAGTACATGCAGACATAGAGACAGAAAAAGAGAGGAGACACAGGAGGGACAAAGGGAGAGAAATAGAGAAGGAGGGATGGAGGGGAGAGACTTAACAAAAATACAAAGGACATAACAGCTAGGCACATGCACATAGGCTCATCCTCCAGTACTTCTTATTCAAACATTCCATTAATGAAAACAACAACACCATTAGCAGAGGTCAAATTATCAGTAGAGATCAGGCCCTTGAGACCATCCCACCAACCAAGGGAACCCATTCAAACACTGCTGAGTGTTCAAAGTAGGAAGAAGGAGTGTCCTACTAAGTACCCAATTCAATCAGTTGATTCTAAGTGGGTTTACTAGTATACAGACAAGCCTGGAGGGCCTTATATACTTTCAGCACACAATCTATGGCTTTTGTAAGTAGCTGCCAGAATGGCTGACTCTTATTCTATAAACAAAGGGCATACCTATGAAATGTTGGCAATGCTTTCTTTCCTCCCCTTCTCCTCCCTAGCTCCCTCTCTCTCTCTCTTTCCCCTTCTCTCTCTCCTTCCCCCCTCTCTCCTTTCCCCCTCTCCCTCTCCCTCCCCTTCCCCCCCTCTCTCCTTTCCCCCCTCTCCCTCTCCCTCTCTCTCCCCCTTCCCCCCCTCTCTCTCTCTCTCTCTCTCTCTCATTCCCCCTCCCTCCCTCTCTCCCACTCTCTTAACACTTACACATGAGGTCAATATTCAAGTTTAGCTACCAATGAAGTTAAAATTAATGTAATGCATTGTATAAAAAGAATCAGTGATAACCAGTCAAAGAAGAGATAATGAGCTGAAAAAGATATTTCACACGCATACAAGACTTGTACACAAAAAGGAGAGAGACAGAATCCCAATGATAATATGCAAGCAGAATCAAGATGTACCATGTACATGTACATGTATGTACTGAAGTACATAAATGTATAATAGAACAAGAGTGCATGTACATGTATATACATGTACATACCTTACTAGGAAGCATAATGAATTATCTAAGTAGTACGAAGGTAGTACACATGTACATTGTATTTTAAATTTACTATGCCACTTAAATTTACTATTCATCTTCCTGTGTACATGTATATATGTACATGTAAATAAAGATTCATTATGAAGAGTGTGAATACATACCAATGTCCCCAAGATAAATGAAACACCTTTGAGTGGCCTCCTTCAACCACAGTCCATCAATCAGTTCTCTATCAGAAGTCTCCATTTCTATTTAATAATATGACATAATAGCTTCCACACTCTCTCACTACAATATTTTGATAGCCAATCTAATTTGACCTTTAGATGGTTAGACCACACTGTCCACAACATAAAAAGTGACTTAATTTCATTTTTATATTTTACTATGAGTGGACTATGATTGGAATGAGAGTTAGCCTCAAGCCAAAGGCATTGACATCACAGGCCACACATCATCAATATTGATTTGATTTAAAATGTTTAACGTCAAAAGCTGAGCTAAGCATTAAATATCAGATGACAGATACATGTACATGTACGTGTACAATAAAAGCATCATCTCTCATTTCTTATGCCCTCATACTCTCTCTCTCTCTCTCCCACTCTTTTCCTTCTCTTCCTCCCTCTCTCCCTCTCTCTATCTCTGTCTCTCTCTCCCTCTCTCTTCCTCCCCCTGATGCACATTATCTTGGATGCTGCTGACCTTCAAGCTGGTGAGGTGACATTCTAGTGATGTGAATGTTGTAATGATCCTGAAGGTCTTGCAATAATTGTTGATAATAAACAGTTGCATTTATTAAATGACTATTGTACAAATTGTGGCATGGATGAGATGGGTTAAGAATCTAATGAAATAGAGAGAGGGAGAGAGAGGGGGAGAGTAAGAGGGGTGAACAAATTAGAGGAGTATGACAGATGTAAAAAATAGAGGAAGGGCAGGGAGAGGGAGAAATAATAAACAAATACAGTATATGAAAGTTATAGAATCAATTTTTTACTTCTCTGTGTTGCTTGCACTGTGATATAACCCCATACACCACATGCTTCCATAGTAACTCCTCTGCTTTCCGACGTTTGGAACAAGACAAGAAAAGTACCTCTTGGCATTTCTTTTGAAGCCTGAGAGAAAACATCCACATACATGAGACACGTAAACAAACAAAAATATCAGACAAAATTAATGTTAAGGATAAACATAGACACAGGCATGATGAATGTAAAAGCAAACATGGATAAACACATGAAAAATGTCATACCGCAAAATGCACATCATGGCGTTTATATAAAGGCTATATTAATCATTCAATTTAAATAATCTTCTTTAAAAGGTAATTTAACTTACTTTGCTCTTAGCGTTACAATCTCGGGTTGAAATACGTCGCTCAAGCTACTAGCATGTCTTACATGCCTCTCAATCTTCTCTGCATAAGCAAATGCATATCTAAACACATGTACAAAAATTTTGAAATAATGAGGCAATGATAAAGGACCTGTAGGAGTCTTTTCCTTTCTCCTCGTCTCTGTACTCAACTTGATTACCAGTAGCAGGGGGCCGCCTAGCCTTGAGGCTGCTCTGACGAATACTGCTGTGTTTATGTACGCTCATGCCTACAGAAATATAAATTAAAACGAGGAAACGTGGGTTTTTCTAGTTTCTACATGTACATATCAAAAGTATAGATGAAAAACCAACCTCTAGGCTCTACAATACTATGATCAAAGCAAACACGTGGCGCTGAACAATGTGCACGCATACCTCGTGTGGGCAGTGAGGACTCCAGCGGACGTTATAAAAATGCAGGTAGGAGTACGTTCCGGATCAGTTTTTGAAAGGAGCTCACTTCAAAGGAGAAGAACACTCGCCAGGGGCTGTATTAAAGACTTGGAGCAAAACGAGAGCTTCTTCCAAAGCCCAAGGACTCCGCCATAACACCAGACAGCTCGTACGCCGTGAGACTGCGCCCGCTACCGATTCAAAGTGATCGGGTTGCCGTCTGAGCTCTAGCTAGCCATACCCAGGCCTTGTTAACTTAACCAGTCCTAGAGAAGGCTCTGGCTCACACGGTAGCTTGCTCACTTAGAAACGGCCGAGGCGCTACTGCAAGGAGAACAGGTCACCTCTTGACAATGGCCCAGCGAAGCTTTAAATGTAAATTATCATGTTCTTGTTTATTTACGCTGTCTTCTATTGTGTGCCTTTTTTGTCCTTAATATTTTCTTTAAAAGGTAGCTAAAGCAAGCCTTATCCCTTTGTTAAAGAATTGCTGGCTAAAAACATTTTATTGTCCTTATAATAATTCCAAGTATTGCCCACAAATCAGCCTTATAGGTGGATATGTACATGTACATGACTATAGTATGATGATGTTTTATTCCCATCCCTCTGTTCCTTCCTTTCTTTTCTACTACAGATCACTGGCTGAAGAAGATAAGGCACATAATGACAGGGAGCTAAGATGACAGGGCACCCTATCCATTGTCTTCACTTCTATTGACAGGATACATAAACACCAAATCTCTTCAAATCAGCTCAACAAAGAGCCTATACTAGAGGTACATACACAAACATGCCATTATCATCCTCTATATTGACAGAGGCTACTATGAGGAGATCATTAACACACTTAGCAATAAAGGGAAGAGAGGCTAGTTGACAAAAAGGTCAACAGAGGCCAGATGAGTGAGTTTATGGTTTGGCTCAGTAGACACCTTCTATCACAACTTTGGGTGGAAAAGTATAAAAAGGCAGGGACCCTCTAACCACTCCTACACTAAAGTTTTTACAGGTTTCTTTGGCCACCTGGCCTGAGGTTCCTGTGGCTGTTGTCATGGCAAATGTCTCACGAAAGAGAATGGCCATTACTATCCAAGTAGTGGAGAAAGATAAAAGTGGGAGAGAAATGCAAGAAGAAACTAATTAGCATTTTTCTCTAGACATTTTTTCATAGTATAATGCTTCATCATGTATCTATTGATTCTAGTGTTAATTTATTATATATTTATTGGCAAGCTTATAGTGATGTCTGCCACACATCATGTACATACACAACAAATTTGTCAACAGTAATAATAAAATTAATTGAAATGCAATGTACTAAAGGTGCTATGATTCTTGTAACTACATGAAGCAAATGCATTCAAGGTGTAGTACATTCATTATATGCCACTCAACCTATTACTACAGTGTCAGTTCAACATCAAACCAACTCTAGTTTTTAGTAAGCTATAACTTGAGTCTTGAAATCTAAACTCCTGTACTCTACAAAGCTGACGAAGCAGGTAGAGCTGCTATGAGGCTAGCTAGTAAAATAATACATACACACTCATGGACCAAAAAATCAACCAGTACAATTATATAATCTCATTTATAATGTCCATTATCACTTTGTATACACACACTTTCACTGACTGTTAAAGAATCAGTCACAACCAATAATACATGGACACTAACAATGTGAGGGACCAGAGAGAGAGAAAGAAAGAAAGGTACACATATACAGATATACATGAATACCCATTCATCAGTATTGTAGACACATAGTTACACAGTCAAATGGCACAATAAAACTGAATGACATACACACACAATCAGTACATTATGTATTAGAGAGTACTACTCTATGAGACACTGAGTCTCTATTAGCTAGGCCACATTATGATGGTCAGAAATACATACACACAACTTCAATTAAATGTGTGGGCGACTTGGCATCAATAAATTGAATGTGAATATATTACAATAATAATCCATGTTCCCCTCTCCTACCTTTTGTGCACAAAGTTAAACAACCTGTGAGCCTTGTTTGGACATGTGGGCACCTAAATAAATCCTAAAGGACCAATTAGAGATTTGACTAACAATGCAATAGTGAAACAGAATACATGTCATACGGAAGCTGCCATAAACAAACACTTGCATGTACATAAAAAGTGAGCTAGGGGCCATTTTTATCACAACTTATGCTACACATGTATGTATAAAGTTTGAGCTGATCCAGGGAGAGAGGGAGATGGAAAAAAAGAGGAGAGGGAGAATGGGAGAGAGAGGGGGAGAGAGAAAGAATGAGAGAGGGAGGAAAGGGGGAGAGAGAGGGCATGTGGATTCCATTATTAATTACTAGATATTTAGTACAGTGTGACACCAAGCAACAGCAAGGGAGGAAGCAGGCAGGTATGGAGTAATTTGATTAGAGTCAATCAATTACTAGCATATTTATTGCATTGGAATCTCATTTTAAAGCATAACCTAATATGAAAGGCATGCTAATGATGATGACACAGCAACTCACATAGAAATAAACCCAGTAAATGTACAGTTGTAGGGTATCTCTGATCAATGTCATTAGGGCTTGATACATTAAGTATAATAATAGCTAAAATGCTATTGGTTAGTACTATTAGACTTAAAAGTACATGCACAATGTAGTTCATTAGGTGCTAAAATGACAAAAGATATAGGTATGCTAATATTATTATTAATATGTTCACTTTCAAAATCAGTGCTCACTGTCATAACTATTACTGGACATAAAAGAGAAGTAGGAGGGAGCATGAGGTTAGAGAGTGAGTGAGAGGGGAAATAATGAGGGGAAGGAAGTGACAGCCCCTTCCCTTTGAAGATTCAAGAGTTACAAAAGCTGAATGATTAATACAATATTCTGTTATCTAATTATGGGCAAGCCCAGGATAAATTATGACATAATGTCTGTCTCTTACTCGCTTTGTTTTTTTGAGTAAATGCAAATTTGGCTATAGAGATTTTCAGTTACATATTGATACCCTTACATGTATGCTTTGTAGGGAGTTTGAGTTACCACCAATCAAAATTAGAATTTTAAGAAAAAACATATGTGGGATACACTGGAGAAGTGGTAACTATGAAACTGATTATAATCAAATGATAGGTGGTATTCTGTCAAAAATGGCTAGAAATAAATTATTTTGACACTTATGCACATACTTATGTTGTGTAAAAAGTTTGAGCTGATTCCGATCAAAATTGTATTATTTACAAAATTTTAAAGCTGCTAAAAATCAAGCCTGAGACCATGGCATGTACCCAGTCTCGGGCAAAACTTACTTTGTCAATAAAGCTAAAAAAATCTCCATTAACAATATTTTCCCAATACATATACATGTTCTGATGCTATGCATCTAGTTTGAACTAATTCCAATTAAAAGTGGATTTTTTATGAATTTTTATGCACAAAGTTTGAACTGAAATTACTTAGTCATGTACATACATGTAGTACTCCCTTTAATAGGTTAAAAATATAAAACCAATATTTTCACTTTCCCATGTAGCCATCAAATACATGCATATAAACTATTGTTTTCAGGTAACGATCACAAAAGTACATAAAACCCACTCTCACTCTCACGACCACACACGGCACAATGTCAAATTAAAGTATCATAACAATGTAATTATAGTATGTTTGTTAGTCATTATAGTTAATAAATACAAGGCAAAGCTAATAAATATACACGTACAGTACAATTTAGCTAATACATGTGTGTGCTTTATGTAGGTAAATAAAACTTACTTTATCAAACAGACGCCATCTTTCTCTCGAGCCCCGCCTACTCTCAATACTCGCGGTAACATTTTCCGTATACTCTAAACACATGGCACTGATTAAATCTTCATTCAGCTTGGCAAGGCTGGCTTTTCTCAACTTTCTGAGACATCCCAAGTATTCTTATCAACTTACAAAGATTATAAATGTTTTCTAATTTTTAATTTAGAAATCCACAGTCATTGGCTAAAGGCGTTACAGCTCCATTAAGAGTAAGGGGTGTGGCTTATAATCAATTCAGTACCTCTGCAGCATTATTAGGTAATTTAAGTTTTTTAAATTTGTTCAAATGCTCCAACTAACTCTGCCATCTTTCTATTTTAACCATTAAATTGTGCATACAATGTCTGTCTTGTATCTTTTTTTTGATTTGTAGCTAAATCAAAAGCGGCTCAAGATGATGCAACAGAATTGAAATATGAAGGAATGAGTACTACTGTATGCCAGGGAGCCAATTACTACACACACGGATCTGATCCTGAGCTAAAGGTATTTTAATTGATTTTTTTCATGTTGATATTAAAACTGAAAATATAATTATTTGACAAATTAATTTTAGTATTGTAAATGTGTTACTTTCTCTTTATTTCATTTCATCTGTTTTGCAATCTCTCTGTCCTCCCCAAGGATGATTCTGAATACCCTGACTGGCTGTGGACTCTGTTAGATCCTCCTGCCGAAGATAGCAAGACATACCATAGACAGCAGAAGAAAGCAAAAGCTAGATTACGTAATAAATTAATGAAACACAAAGAATGATTTACACCATTCATCATTATGTAAATATGTATATAATCAATCAATTAATGTGAAAGGCTTAGTTGGTGTGAAAATAGTGGCGTGGTGAGTAAATGGATGAGATACTTATCATCAATGTTATTTTTTAAAATGAGTTCTAATGTGGCTTTTCAGTGTAGGCATATTCCTTTGTTCTCTACGACAGACGTGACAACTCAAATTTTTCTTAAGCAAGCTTTCATAGTATTCCTTGTCAATAACAACTCTCCCTTTCTCCTCTACCATCTTTATCAATCTTGCTGCATCAATAAAAAAATCTGTAGTGAAAGAGTTCCAGTGTTTCTTGTTTTTCAGCGATGGAGAATCGAAATCACAACTAATGACGTGCATATGGAGCCTATTCATGCTCGGTATTGCATGATAACCATATTTGAATTGAGGATAGTCTGGAATTAGAGTATCATCGTTTGAATGTTCTGTCTTTACATAATCTTGTCCAAATTTTAACAGGTGATGCAGGAGTTCCAGGTTTTGTTTGCCCAAAGAACTGATTCCAGATATATTTTCTCTTGGTAGGATCAAATAATGATGTCTTGCTTTGGGGTACATATCATTGATCATGACACATTTCTCGTCTGATTTCACCACTGTATCAGGATTTTCCATTGACTTCAGTAGCCCCTGGCTCCAGTGACCTGTAGGCTTGCGTTTTGTTTTAGATTTTAAAGGAGCATGCTTGCTATCAGTCGCCAAATCTTCTTCATCAGAACTGCTGAAATACCTTTTCGCCATTTTGAATAGGTGGGGCTGCAAACGTGGGCGTTGAAAATAAAAATGGATGCAAGTGAGAGATCTAAGGATGAAGTCCTGTTGAAAAGAGGACTCAAGAGAGCCAAGTTGTTTCAGATTCAGAAGTTAACGAAAAACATAAGATTATACAAGAATAAAAGGTAAAACTTTTAATGCCACGTGACCTGGTGATTCTGATTGGCTATCTCTCTCCTGCAGAGGTAGTGAAGAACAGCTTGAGAAGAACAGAAGAAAGAGTGAGAGATTTGCTCAAGATTTAGAAACCATTAAAGTAAATTATAGTTTAGACTATTATAGACTATGCATATAATTTTTAACGCTTTTAATCAGACCTGGGTGAATCGCAAAACCCCAAATAAAACAGAAACATGGCTTGCTTTAAAAACATAGAAGTTATAACATATCGTCACCAGCTACAAGGCATGTTAAGTGAGCTAAACATCACACTTCATGAGCTTACAAGCACTGTTTTTTTGGAGTAACTTTAAAAATTTATTTAAAAAATTTAATTTGACCCTAATCAGCTCAAGCACATTGGAACATGTATAAAAATTATAAAAAATGGAGAATTCTATTTTAGCGATTTTTGATGAAATTTGGCCCAAGACTATGTACTGTAGTACAGGGTCTTAGCCAAATTTTGTTAAAAATGTCAAGGATAGAATTTTTTTAAATTTTTCTTGATACATACATGTACTTATATTGTGTAGCAAGTTTGAGCTGATTCCGACTAAATTTGGATTTTTTACAAATTTTTGAAGTTGCTCAAAAATCTGGCCAAACACCCTGTACAACATCAGAACATGTATATGTATTTTTGAAATTATAAAAAGAAGAATTTTCTCCTAGCCATTTTTGACAAATGCTTTTCTACAAAGCTCTACAACAACACACCTCATGAACTGGCAAGAAGTTGACTACTATACTGGGAAATCCTGATTTTAACAATTATATTTTTGCTTATTTACTTTTTGCTTATTTAAGTAGATAAGTGACTCAATTTTGATGAAAATTCCAATTACATTTTGTTCTGCCTTAAGCTTCAATTATGATCACAATTATGGAAATTGAGCCTCTGATTGCAATAACAATTGTAATTGACCCCAGGTCTGGCACAAGGGTAATCAGCATTAAAAATAAACTCATTTCAATTAATTTTTTTGAAAAAATATTTTGGTTTTGGAAATGCATACATTAGATAGAAATGATATTAGACTAACTATTGTATGAAGTTTCAAGTAATAAGTATTTTATAGGATATAGATATTACTAAATTATCAAAACTTCTCCTGTCAAAGGATGAAGATATTTCTTCCATCTTAACTACAAAGGAGGTAAAAGCCCATGCAGACATAGATTTTATTATTATTTTTCATCATTAATAGATGCCAGTAGATGTCACTAAGAGAGCACAATGGAGACTCCTTCACACAAAAGTTATGAAAGAAACGTGTTTAACCAGCTTGTTTGAAAATCCTTCACCTGTAACTGATAAACCAGAAGAACTAAGTCAAATGGAAGATACTGACTCTGAAGAGATTGAGGAAGAAATGAACAAAGGGACTTTAAATGTTGACAGCAGTGAAGAGCACGACAACAATAGCATTACTGAAGAGAGTTCTGATGACAGTCATAAAAAACAAAAGAAAGTATTGCCTCATCAAGTTCAAACTCTTTTTGTTGAAAGCCTTTCGAAATCTAATAAAGATACTAGGAGAATGAGCAGCACAAAGCAGGTGAAGTTTATAAAGCAAAAATCAGTCAAGAAAAATCGTATGGGCCAACGTCAAAGGCGACTGTAAGTAAAAGCTACTTGTAATAATTTTGTGTATTAATAATTACTGCAATAGAATGTGGGAATCTTTGTATGGAGCTGGAGCTAAGCATTTAAAAGATGCTACCACAGTTAGAAAGAAGAAAAGAGGCAGTAAATTTTTATAAATTGTAATATTAACTCATTTTAACTCTGTATAGGCGAATCTAGGCATGATAAAACAAAGGCTGATATCCAATCTGAGAGCAAAGATAATT